CTGTGCTCAGCCCGCTGCGCCACTGGGGAGGCCCTGCAGATGACTTTTAAACCCATGAAAAAATGCTCAATCTATTCATCATGAGAGAAATTCACATTAAAACCTCACTTTATCCTGTTTCTCACCACATGGGCTAAAAAGTACAAAGGTTTGGGTCTCCCTGGTGGTGCAAGAGGTTTAGCTGCAACCTATGATGCTGTCTGCAGCCACTGCAGCATGAGTTCAATCCCTGGCCAGGGACTACCCACATGGTGCAAGAGACCCCTCCTGACTCACCCACTGCTCCCCTCAGCAGTTTATTTCAGTCAGTCTGCCTGTTCTCTTCCCCACTCTGTCTCCTGTGAATCCTCTCATCCCCCTGCACCTCTGGCCTGTACCCCAGTTCTTGTATGCATACATAAATAAATCTTTTTTTAAAAAAAAGTACAAAGGTTTGCTGGCATACTCTGTAGGTGATGCTGTGGTTCTGCATCACTCCTGGGATGTGAAGCCACGCCCTCCTCATGGAAGGAATCGGACACATGTAATGGAATCCATGTGCACGTTCCTTTGACCTAACATTCCTGCTTTTTTGGACTTGATTCCAAAGGCAATCTGGAAAAAATACTAACTGATTAATAGTCAATGCTATTTATGGCAGTGGTTTGTGATAATGAAAGACTAACATGTCGACAGTTTTTATATTTTTCGTGAAACTTAGACAAATTTCTTTATTCCACAAGCAAACCTGCAAAATCTTTCCCTTTGGCTCCTTCTTCTCATCCACCTTTGCTGTGTTGAAGAAACAGCACGTTCTTTTAGATCTTTCCCTACTTGGGTGGTTTCCAGCTAGGCAGTGCCTGCTCAGGGTTTTCCAGTCATTGGATCTATGACTTGTCCAACTTTGAACATGATCTCAGCAGTTCATATTATCCGTGATTCACCTGTGGAACAGGTGAAGCCTTGAGAAGCAACTGTGTGCTACTAAAGAGCATTATGATCAAGGTGGATTTTGCTTATTAAAATATTTTAATAAACAGGGATGCGAAACAAGACTGGTAACTCTTGAGCAGTTTTTGCATTGCTGTCCCAGCCACCTTGCCTACTCTCCGCTTGGCATGGACGGATGAATGAAGTATGACTTTATGTGGCTTTGATCACCTCCTGGCTCCGCCATTCTACATGCAGCCAAGAATCACATCTTGAGGTTTAGATTCTACCCAGCTAGTCTGAAATTTGTAGTCTCCCGAACCAGTCTTGGCATTGGCAATATTTGACTTACGTGCAGATGTTTTTCAGCTGTTATGAGGGATTAATGGCTATTGGCCAAATCTCAAAATAGGTAACATGATTTTTTGAGTCCTGTGCAAGTCTGTCTCTCCAAGCTTCTGCCTTCCTTTCCCTTGTCGAGCCTTGTTTGTTGACCTCGGCTGCCTTTCCCTTAAGTGTTCTTCTCTCATAGTGCTTTTCCCTCTGAGGCACTGGAGAGCCTGACATGTGTACGCAGATTGAGACCAAGAGGCATTACCCTTCTCTTTGCAGTTATTTACTCCAGTAAACATATCAACGATCAGTGGTAGTAGGATTGACCATTAATTTTGAGTCATGAGGTTCTAGAATGTAAATATTTTGTACTTCTTAATTGTTCTGGATGGAACTACTGCAGAAAGCAGGCCATGCCAAAGGAGATTATTTCTTCTGTTTCAGGTTTATTTCATCCCTCTTCCTCACCCCCATGTTAATTTGGAGTTGGAATGTATTTTAAAATATATTACATGAATGGAATATTCCACCTCTCTTGAAAAACTGTTCAAAGTTGACGCATCTTACCGTTGATGGCCTCTTAGAATTCAGGAAATACGTGCATAAGGGGGCATATATATGGAATCGGCTTTTTTCTATTGGCAAACAGTCATAACACAATTTTCCACCTCCCCTTTTGTAGTAAGTATATTTTCTGGGTTACTTAGTGGAAAAGGCCTTTCCTGGGTGACTTGATTATTCTGAACAAACAAATACTAATTATTGAGAAAAGGAAATGAAAAATGTGAAGGAACATCTCATCTCTTTGGTAGCAACACTAAATATTTATATAGATATATTTCTTGAACTCTTCTAGCACAATTGACTATTCTTTGGTATAAAGTAGTATCTTGTCTACATTTACTTGATACTGTTTCTCTGCCTATTTTTCCTTTTATCTTACTGGCTGCTCCTTTGCAAAGCTTTGCTCATCAAACTTCTCTATAAGACCTTTCAATGATCTGCGTTCTGTTGTTCTCTCTTCTACTTCTCTCCCTCCCTTCTGCTCTTTTTTTTTTTTTTTTTTAAGATTTATTTATTTATTTATACAAGCACTGGGTACAGTCAGAAGCGTGGGAGGGTGAGAGAATTCACCAGAGCCAGTGCGGGGAGCAGAACAGGCCGCCTGACGAAATACACTGCTGAGGAGAGCAGCGGGTGACAGGAGAGGTCTGCGCGCCATGTGGGACCCTCCCCGGCAGCTGGGGATTGAACCAGCGCTGCAGAGGCTGCGGGCAGCTTCACAGCCCAGGGCTCAACTGCTGCGCCATCAGGGGAGGCCCTAGCCTCCATAGTGTTTTAAGTCTCTTTGTGCCTCTAGCCTGAAAGACTCGCCTGAGTTTTGGTTTCAGATATAAAAATGACTAATAAGTATTTCCAGTCAGATAATAGGATCTCAAACACAACATGGCCAAAGCAAAAGTATCAGTTCTCCACTACCAGATCTGCTTTATTCCAGACCTTTTCCCCTTCTCAGTAAATGATACCACATATAACTGATACTTAGGCCAAAATACCTTTTTGTGCTGAGGAATCCTTGATTCTTGTACAACCCATATCTAATGTGTCAGTGAGTTTTCTTGATTCTGTCTCCAAAATATGCCTCCATTTGCTTCTCAGTGTTGCCATGGGTGTAACCCCTGTCCAGTATACCCTGGTCTTTGACCAAAGTCTCAACTTCCAACTGGTTTTCTTGCCTTTGCTTTTTTTCCTCAGTGCCTTTACTTTTGCCTTGTTTACATTGTTCTTTCCAAAGCTTTCAGAATGAGCTTACTGAAGTAGAAATTAGCTCATATTTGAAAACTAAAGGTCACTTCCTGTTACAATTATAATAAAATGGGTAAGTTCTTAGTTTGTCAACAAAGTTGGCTTCTGCCTACCTCTCTTACTTTTTTCTCGTATTTTCCTGATGTTCAGTCATCCTGTCTTCTCTCTCACTAGATCAAGGCAGGCCTGGTCCTGTTTCATGGCCTTTGTACCTGTGATATCTTCTCGTAATGCTTGTGATCTTTGCATGATAGATTCCTTCCTGGCATTTAAGTCTCAACTCATATGGGGAATCTTGTTTTGACCAGCAGCCCCCCAGTTGTTCTTTTTCTATTAGCCTCTTTTATCATTTTTTTCATTTTTTTTTTTAAAGATTGATTTATTTATACAAGCACTGGGTACCGTTAGAAGCGTGGGAGGGTGAGAGAATTCACCAGAGCCAGAGTGGGGAACAGAACAGGCAGACTGACGAAGTACACTGCTGAAGGGAGCAGCAGGTGGCAGGAGAGGTGTGCGTGCCATGTGGGACCCTCGCCTGGCGGCTGGGGATTGAACTGGTGCTGCAGAGGCTGCGGGCAACTTCACAACCTAGCGCTCAACCGCTGCGCCACCGGGGAGGCCCTCTTTTATCATTTTAATATTACTGATTGATACCTGAAATTTTCTTCTGTTTTGCTGTTTTTTGTTTTTAATCAGACTTCCTCCTCAAGATTGTAAACTCCTTGAATATTGAGGACAGGGTGATGACTAAATCCAAGTAGGCCTTGAGCACCATCTGGAAATTACCAGGAGCCTGAAACAGTACTAGGATCTGATGTATGTTAGTGGACTGTCTTTCAGGGAGCGTGGTGGAGGGTCGTTTGGAGGGAATTAGAGAAGTTAGGTGACGATGCATCATTTCTAAGTTTGAACAGCAAAGTGACTATTTTATGAAAGGCCACTCTGACTGCTGTGTGAGCAACAGGCCTTGGAAAAGGGTTGGAGGACTGAATGGAAGGACGGGACTAGTATTAGGATACAGCCTAGTATTCAGCTGCTAACTAGTAATAAGGAGCTTCCCTTATCTCTTAATGGTTTCCAGAAGTTTTTGGTCTTGCCTCTTTATAAACGTATTTTGCTATTTTGTACCAAAATGTTGGGAAGGATTGTTTTTGCCAAGTTACTGGAAACTTTGCTGTGCTTCTCTCTCATGTAACGTTCTCACTCAAAGCTCCCTTCCTGGTAAAGACTGTGCACACAGACACCCACATGTTATCTACCTTGTTCACGTTTTTTGACCTTTTGTTCTCACTGAAACACTGTTGAAGGGGTCGCCATTTTCCATGTGGTTTTCTTTCATTGTGGTAATTCCTATTTTATTGTGTAAGTGTGTCAGAGCAACAAGATAGTTGGAATAGCATCAGCAACTTTAGACATTTTATAAATTCATTTTAGTAAATGGGATGGGTCTGAGTTGTATTTTGCTAGTGAATTTATTATAATAGATAATTATATTTAATCAAATTGTTGAGATAAGTTAAAGACTCACTTTGAGGCAAATCATGGTTTTTCATGGAAGACATATTTTCAATAACTTCTCAAGGTGGAGAATATAATAAATGTTTCTGAAAAAGTAGTAACACATAAGTCCACATTAAAAAGAGCAATTAATTTCATAGAGCTATGATTAGGGCAGATTCACTCCAGTTTTTGGACATTATTAAATACTCTCAAGTATTGAAAATATAGGAACAATCTGTATATCCTCATTGCATGAAGATATAGCACAGGTTATACATTTTTATATTCCTCACAGATGTTTCCATATTCTAACCGTTGCCTATTGTGATTGCCTATGAACTTGACTCTGTCTTGGGCCTTCTCATCAGTCCCAATGCCATTTGAATAAGGAGTTGGGTATTTTGGAATGATTAAATGTGATAGTAATTTTTATGTGTTTTTTTTTTTAACAGAAGATGCATCAGATGCAGACTTATGGCTCCTGAATAGCTGTACTGTAAAAAATCCAGCTGAAGATCACTTTAGAAACTCAATTAAGTAAGTGGAAGTTGATTTTTCCTATTTTATAAGCGAAGTAAGACTGAATCTCAGGCCATTAGCTTTTAAAAGATTCCTAATGTAAACATTTTAGTATGTATTGGAAAAATGTTCGAGTTAAACTTTAAGATTAAACTGTTTTGAATTTATCTGATAAAGAATGACACTTTTTTTTTTTAAGAATGAAACTGTAATGTGGACTTTCCTAGTAAGTAATTTGAATATTTGTGAACTTAGCTAGCAGTGATTTGAATATTTAAGTATTACCTACTCACTGTTGTTAGGGAATCATCCAGTCTGTCCTCTGTGAAACTACCTGAAGCAGTTTTTTTAAATGTCTTTTTTATTTTTTAAATTTTATATATTTTTTACATCATTTTTCATTTTTGCACAATGTATGCATTTTCATCTTGGTATAGTCCCCATACAATTCCCCCCCCCCCTTGTATTGATCCTACTCCCTCCTACCCCCTCCACCCCCCAGTAGTGTCTCTGGTTTATAGTTGCTTGTTGATTTTGATTTTTACTTTATTATAATTAGTCTTTTTCATGGTCCCTTATTTAGGTTTTCTAAATTCCTGCTATGAGTAAGAACATCTGGTATTTTTCTTTTTCTTTCTGGCTTATTTCACTGAGCATGCTCCCTTCCAGCACCATCAATGTTGCTGCAAATTGCATGAGTTTATCTTTTTTGATTGCTGAGTTGGCCTTTTGGCTAAGATCAAGTGTAGTATCTGTTCTTATCAGTTTAATATCTGATACGTCCTCTATCCAAAGCAGTTCTTAACCTCTTTTCTCTGCCTATTTGCTCTGTTCTAGATGCTAATAATGCCTTTTCCTCAGGGGAATTACTTTGTTGGGGGAGACCTATAAAAGTTCTTGTTTCTTGCTTTGTTCCCTTTATATAGTTGTAACTTAGAAAGCTAAAGAAATACCCTTTTTCATATGTTCTTTGTCTGAATCTTATCCCATCAACCTTCTTATGAAACTCAATTCTATTAATTATTTCTTTATTCTCCTATATTTTCAATATTTCCAACCCTAGTGGTGCCTTTTCATTGGTATTTAAACATGCTCATTTTAATTAAACCCATTCTACCTCTTTTGGCAATCGTCTTATTTTTCTTCTCACCTTCTCGGCCAGGTTTGAGATTCTTCACTTACCAAATTCACTCATGCTCTCTTCTTTGACCTCCCCCTCTTGCTTCCTGAAGTATACATGCTTAAGTACATGAAACATGTATATTTTAAATGTTAATAGTAGAAATAATGAACTTAACACTTATATAATACCTGTATAACACCCAACATAAGAAATACAACATTGTCCAGACCTTAAAGCCTCCCATATATCCCTCTTTGACTCATACCCTGTAATATAATCTGTATCCTGATTTTTGCGTTATCCCCTTGCTTTTATTAGAAAATTTTAATCTCTTAAGCATCTCTCTCTAAACAGTGTGTTGTTTAGTTTTGCCCTGTTTTAAACTTTATTTATTAGACTTACATTTAAGTTTGTATTCTGAGATTTGCTTCTTTTCCTCAACATTATGCTTTTAGGTTTATCCATGTCAATGGATGTGCAAAAACTCTGGCCATTCATAGTGCTTCATTGAATGAATTTGCCATAGCTTATCCATGTTATTATTGATGAGAGATTTGAATTTTCCACATGTTTTCTTTTTATGGCCACTTCGGCTGTAAGAATTTAAAATATGTTTTCTGGGGCACGTGTGCAAGCATTATTTTAGTATATGTACCTAGGAGTTGAATTACTAGATTATAGGTGTGTGCTTATTCAAATTGTAGTAGATGATGCCAAACTTTTCTCCCAAGTAGATGTACAGCACTTACTCCCACCAGTAGTGGATGCACATGGTTGTTTTCTGTACTTGCCAATACTTGATATGATATGATCAGACTTACCTATTGTTGCCAATCTGTTGGTGGAGACAGTATCTCAAAGTGGTTTTTATTTGCATTTTCATGATTACTAATAATGTTGAACATTTAAAAAAATATTTATTGGCCAATTGGATTTTCCATCTTTGTGGAATAACTGTTAAATGTTCTTTTTCCTGTTGAGTTCTTTTTTAATTATTTGTGGGAATATGATAGGTATCTTACATGTTACTCTTCAGATACTTCATGTATTGCAGATATCAGCTGTGGCATATCCTTTCACTTTAATGGTATGTTATGATGAAGAGAAATTCTGGTTTAAAATTTATCTTTTCATTTTGGTCTGTGCTCTTACTGTATAAGAAGTGTCTCCTTGGGCCTCCCCGGTGGCGCAGCGGTTGAGCTCTGGGTTGAGAAGCTGTCCACAGCCTCTGCAGGGCCGGCTGGATCTCCTGCCACTGGGCGAGGGTCCCACATGGCGCAGAGACCTCTCCTGCCTCACCCGCTGCTCCCCTCAGGAGTGTACTTTGCCTGTCTGCCTGTTCTGTTCCCGGCTCTGGCTCTGGTGAATTCTCTCACCCTCCCACGCTTCTGACTGTACCCAGTGCTTGTATAAATAAATCTTTAAAAAAAAAAAAGTGTCTCCTTACTCTGAAGTTATTAGGATATTCTTCAGTATTTTCTTCTAGGAACTTACTGGTTTTTATATCGAACATGTAGATACACAGTCCAGCTGGAGTAGATTTTTCTTTTTTGGGTATGATGATAGGCAGGAGATCCTCATTTATTTTCCCATGTAGACACTCACTTTCTCCAGTATTGTTCATTGTCTTCTGTTTTTTAAAAAACATCTTTCTCCTTTTATCTGAGTATTACCTGCTCTGACAAATGTTGACTGCCCACAGGTACTTGGGGTACTTGGATCTATCTCTTGACATTCTGGTTCCATTGATCTTTTATTTATTCTGGTGCTTATCCTACATCATCATAATTGGTATAGATTTATGTTATTTCGATATTTGATAGTGCTAATATCTCTTGGTTCTCTTGCTTTTCTTTGCCCTTTGCACTTATCTATAAATTTAATATTTGTTTTTAAGTATGACAAGAAATACGGTTGTGATTTTCTTTATTGTCGTTCCATTAAATTGGCTGTTTACTTTGTGAAGAACTGATATATTTCTGTTTTGAGTTTTCCAAACCATGGATAAGGCATTTAGATTTTCTTTAACTTGTAAGGATATGTATACTTTCTATAATTCTTGGTGTGTTGTAGATTTTTTTCTCTCTAGTAATACTGATATCAATTTGTTGCACAATCATTTATTTTACAAATGTCTTATTTGTTATACTATCATAAATGGTAATTTTTTGAGATTTAATTTCACTTTATTAAGGTAACATTGGTTACAACACTGTATATAATTTAAGCAATCAGTCCACACCTCTGGGATATATTTCTTTCACCCCATCACACCCACCACCAGAGCTTCTATGGTCCTTGGCCATAGACAGTTGGGCCCCTCCCTCCTTTGTTCCCACCCATACCTTCCCTTCTAACCTTGTTTGCCCGTTAGTGTCAGAGGATGAACTCTAGTGGGGGTAGGAAGGACGATTGCATGTAAGGAAAAGTATAGATGAGTAGTCCACTTAAGGCAGAATTGCAGTATTCCAGGTACTCATGGCCTCATGTAAGGGTAGAAGCATTCAGAGTGGGAAGGATTTGACTTGAAAGGAAGAATTTCTTTACACTTTCAACATTGTTGAACTTGACTCCAAAATCTCTGGTTAGAATGAAATAGGGAATTCTAGAAAGGGAATTCAGTTCTTTCGAAAACATGCTTTGGTTTTGAGCATGCTGCATTTGAAGTCACAGACAGAGACAAATACTTTTATAAAGTAGTGGTTATATTTCATTTTCATCGAGCCTCTACTATGTGACAAGCTTAAAATGCTTTACATCAATTGCGTGTTATGTGCTTAATTCTTGCAGCCTACCAGTGATTTTGGGAACCCAATTTTATTCCCATTTTGCAGGTGAAGCAGCATGAGTTTTGCAGATGAAGTTCTCTGAGGCTTACAGATTCATTTATATTGGAGAAGGGATTTTCACCTAGGCAGTCTGATTGAGTTACTTTTAATCGTTTTGTTACCATGCTTCCCAGATTAAGATGTTAGGTGAGCAGTTGTAGAGATCCATGTGACCAACACTAAAAATCCAGATCTTAAAGTGTTTGCATAGAAATATAGTTGAATGTGATTGCATTGTGCACTCAGAAATTATAGACACAGCAGAGAAGAGTTCTTAACTGAACTGTGGGGGAAGGCAGAGAAGGATGGCAGTGATGTGGAATGGAATAGGGATGTTAGGGTCACATTTAGGAGCAGGAGGAAAAATTAAACCAAGAGGAGAGAATGATGTTTGCCAGATGCTGCTCATTTTTCAAAGAACGCTTTTTTTTTTTTAAAAAAAATGAGAAGTTTGTCATGGTCCCAGATTATTTTTTTTCTCTATAGGAAAGATAAATAAGATAGATATTTTAGTGCCACAGATAGCCCCTCAGTACAGAATCCAAAGAATTTAGTTTTGTAATTTACCAGTTTTATGTTGTAATTACTGGATATGCTTCTAGGCTATTCCTAAAAATTTGTTTATAAACTCAACTATAACTTGTGTCTGTGGGTTTTGTCATGTATGTAAACTGTGTTGTGAATGTGGGTTAGAGTAATGATACAGTATTTGAATGATTCAGTGAGATAATCACGTAAGAATAGGTATTCATTTTAACAATTCAAGCTAGTATTGTAAGCACAGGATCTTTTAGTGCACTATTTTCCTTGAGAGAAGGAATTTAAAACCTCATAGGTGTTTAAGTGGTTTTTTAATGACTTTGAAGACTTCCTATAATTAGTACTAATTTTTGTTAAATAACACCGAAGCTAAACTTTGAATTCTTTCCAGAGAAACTATAACTCTGAATGGCACAATAACAACTGACATGGAGTAAACAAGAAATTCAAGTGACATTTATACATTTAAAGACATTCCGTGGTAGATTACTTACCCTTGTCAAGCATTTTGCTTTATTTAGATGCTT